CAACTAGTTCGAATCTGACATACGGAGATGTGTAACAACTAGTTCGAATCTGGAATAAAGATATGTGTAATATCTAGTTCGAATCTGGAATAAAGATATGTGTAACAACTAGTTCGAATCTGACATAAGGAGATGTGTAACAACTAGTTCGAATCTGACATAGAGAGATGTGTAATAACTAGTTCGAATCTGGAATAAAGATATGTGTACTAACTAGTTCGAATCTGGAATAAAGATATGTGTACTAACTAGTTCGAATCTGGAATAAAGATATGTGTAATAACTAGTTCGAATCTGGAATAAAGAAATGTGTAATAACTAGTTCGAATCTGGAATAAAGAGATGTGTAAATAACTAGTTCGAATCTGGAATAAAGAGATGTGTAAATAACTAGTTCGAATCTGGAATAAGGAGATGTGTAATAACTAGTTCGAAGCTGATGTGAAGAGATGTTTTAATACACGATATATCTTTCGTATTTCAGATGACATGATGGATCATCAAACGCCTGTTTTACGTAAAAATGAACTGGGGAAATTAATGAAATTATTTGATGACAGTTTGTTTTATTTTGTTATAATTTAAATATTATAAACTTGCGTTATCCCTTAATTATTTTGTGCATTGCAGCTTTGTGATTAAGACAGTAATCTTTGATATCACAAAATGCGGCCAAGGTTTTGTACCGTAGTATGTGACAAGTAATTTTTGAAATGTACATTGTGGTTATTAATGGTGTTGATCAGATATAAAAATGTAACAATTTATTGATGACGTTTAAAAAGTACGTATGTATGTATGTACGTATATTTTAAACCGCTGACATCCTAATATTTTTTGCCGATGTCCACTTAATTTTCATCAGTAGAAAACCACGAAGCGAGAGGTGGCGTGGGTGAACAGATTGGGTTTTGATCTCGTAATCCTAAGATTATGCTCTAATTGCAAATAACCAGCGAACTAGTTTTAACTCGTCTTCTTGAACTGGTGGAAAACATAATCAACCACAAAGGTTACAACGTACACGTTTTTATTGGTTCAGTAACACGTATTCGTTAACAGACACTTAAGGATATAACGATAATAATCGGATGGCAGCGTGTTGTTTTTGTAACAAAACAGTAACACTGTTTGTTGATACGAATATGCCGTTTTGTGATATTTTATTACTTGTATATTATTACTTTAATTGATAAAAAAAAATCGAATTGCATGACTAACACAGCGTAACACATGTTTAAAAAAGAATGCCACACAAATAGTTTTTTTTTTTTGACACTGATTAGAGACTTGAGCTCTTTGCGAAATCTGAATTGTCCACCAGCGTGGCCAAGTTCGTACTACTTCCCAGGCTATGGAGGAGCAAAACCCAATTCAAAATCTCGTGTATAAAACCGTTTTCTTCACGCTTTTCGTGAGTTCGAAGCAGACGGACAGATGTGTAATAACTCGCGCGTGTACGCAAGGAGGGTTTGAGGGGGTTCGGCCGATCTTGTACCATTGTATGTGACAGGTCTTTTGAAATATACATTGTGATTATTAATGAGAGGTTTTTGTATTTTATTGTTTTTGATATTTTACTTGTTACGTGTATACATATAACAAAATTATCCTTAAAGCGATACACCATTCAGTACCATAACTGGCTGTAACAGTGACGTCAGAGTAGTTATACATACGCAAGTAAAGTTGTTTCGTACATTATAGTAAGAAAAAAAATAGTTCCGTCACTTGTAACTAAATTATATGTAAAAATAAACTTGGTTTTAATTATGTAAGTTAGGAAGACCAATTGGTGATAATGATTGGACATAAAAGCACATTTTTGATAATAGTCTGTATTTAGAAGAAAACAGTTTTGTGTTAAGCATTTGTCGAAAATTTTTGGTGAAATAATAGAATTTATCATATAAATATAGGTTCTATAACCATGGAATTTCACTGAAGCTCATACGTGACGGAACGTATATGAATACTTGAGGCATCGTACGTGCTATGTTAACCGTTACCAATGAATACCAAGCTAAAACAGCGACTTTTTCTATAACAGTTATACATAAATCCATTCTTCATTCTAGGATAACTTCGTAATGGAGAAAGTTACCATTAGATTTTAACTTAGTTTTCAGTCTGTATGAAAA